TAAAAGTCAGGGGAACAATGGCACTATGATTCATTCTGTGAGGACAAAGAATGGCAATAAAAAATTTCAAGCAAAATCCGTTAAGTTATATACTACTATCAAAAGCCATGCATAAATAAGGTCTATTCTTACAGTTTATTAGTGCGTAGAGCATTTGTGAAGCTTATGAGTCAAAGTAAAACAAAGCACCAGCTGTATAACCATATGATAGGTACAGTATGTGATCAACAAAGCCCTTTAGAGTCTGACTGCACAGGGTGCAGATGTCTGAAAATAATTGCAACTATTACTTTATCTCATCTTTACATTCTCCTTGAGGATACGTTATATTGGTAAAAGTTGTCATTTTTGGTTTTATTAACCATCTTGTTTATTGTTTCATTTGAATTTAGAATCAAATGTGAAATACCATCTTAACTTTAATTTCTGCTCCTGAGTTCTGGTAGTGAATAACGGCGAAGAAGTGTTTTCTGCAGAACTCTTGAATTCATGGTTGCATAAATGCTTTTGTTCCTGTAGATGTTTTGGATCCCCCTTTTTCTTTTTTCTCTCTTTCTTTTTTTCCTTCCCCCTTCCTGGCTTGGACACTTCCCTCTTACAAATGCACTGTGATAATGAACATGGCATGAATGTAAATTAATAGATGACCAAATAAAAGTAACACATGAACAAGAAGAGGCTATCGAGAATTGACAGAGCTCGCTTTTTTGGAAAAGCAAAATGTCTTTGGCAAAACGTTGGATTCAGATCACAATTCTGATTGCAAAATCTTGCCTTGATAAGCTGGAACCCCCTTCCCACCACCACCCTACACTACATTACCACAACCCTACATTGGATAAGTAAGAAAACGGATGGGCAGATGGATGGATGCTTTAAGAGGGGTAAAGTAGGGTTTTCACTGACAACAGCTACAACAACATTTTAACCCCTTTTAGCAACTGAACACTCTAATGTTCCAGAACTAGATCATGGAAACAGGATGGGGTTTTAATTCATGAGTCCAGACAGGGTCTCTCACATATCATTATTTATATCCTGGCTAGTACTCAACTTAATGTTTATTATATTACCTCTGAGCAACACCATTACACTCTGATGTGGCCATAGAGTGAGAGGAGCTTCTTTTGTGGCTGGATTTACGAGGCAGTTAATAGCTGAGAAGATCACATAAGGATTACAGTATTATAATTATCAGTTAACAAATTATAAATTAAGCTCAGTGGACATTTCCTTCTCAACTTCTTTGGCTAAAAGTGGTTCCTTAGAAAAACTGTATTTTCAAGTAGCTTCGCCAAGTACTTTTTTATGAGGCTTTGCTAAGCAAGAGATATGTGAAAAGCCTTGAAGCAGCAGATGCGTTCTGGCAGAAATGCACATACATTTATTTCAAATCCAGTGTCTCACAATCCTTCAAGTGGAGTTAAACAGGTACTTTTACAAGAGGGAGAGAAATTACTGGTGTGAGGACAGAATATGTTTCCAATTTAGCAGTGGAAGGAAGATATTGAACAAAATGTAATGAGGAGGAGATCTGGAGTTTGAGATTTAGAGAGGGGGAAACTGGAATAAGAGTGAGGCAGAGAAGTTGAGAAGACTGCGGTTTCCTTGTGTAGCTGTAAAGCTGACAGGTAAATTTGCATGTGCAGCTAATGGGGCAAAAAGCAGCTAAGGCCTTGTGGGCACCCTTTCACTCTGACAAACAGGCAGCTTGTTGACCCAACCATTGCCTCTGTCACTCTATTTTTCAGATTTAGCATTTCAACACACTAACGTACTCCCTCTGATAAATATACTCATATGCCAACAACACGTACAACACCATGGGCACACATTAAGCTGCCGTGCGTGGGCACAGACTAGGACAACTTAATCTAATAGGATTCAGAATTAATCAGCGGTGAATCTTGAAATGTTCAAAAAGATGATGGCCTGTTTATTGATCTTCTATCAGGCATTTTAGCAGAAGCAAGAAGCAGGGAAAAATCATGGATCGCAGCATGCATCTTGACGAGAGCGTGTGGAGTTGTTTACAGTCTGCTCATCAAGTCAAGGAGTAAATCTCTCTCATGCAGTTTACTTTTTTGTCCACCTTCCTGCACATAGCAAAAATCAATAGCCAGATTGTTCATTCTCTGAACCTCTCTGTCATTTGCTTTTATTCCAATCACTTTGCTGTGTATACCCTTGATGCCATGCTTCAGTCATAAATCATGATCTTTACAGCTGGAGTTTGGGGGCTAGTGTGTGTTTGTGTGCATAATTCTTTGTTGAGCTGCGTAACAGAGACCACAGCTGGGTATTACCATATATCAGTGTGCATCTCTTCTCGTAGCGGGTGTCTGAATGTTTCATCTAATCATTAAATGCTGACAGGCTTCACAGAGTAGCTCCACTGATCCCTGTTAGAGGGATACAGGGCCTGACTTCATTAGGACTGTTAGTACTAAGCTGCTTTACCCTCCCTCATGCCTGGCTTAGCCTGCACGGTGATAAATGTTGAGAGGGCAAGGAAAGATAGGCAGAGGGAAAGATCGGTGAAACAAAAGCAAAGCGGGGACAGAGGCATTTAAAAAGAGAGGCAAAGGTGCCACAGTGAGGTACAGAGGATGAGGCAGTGAGAAATGGGAGGGGAATGGGAGGGCACAGAGCGTGTGAAACTCGAGTTTTCAGAGGCAGGGGAGGGGATAAAGCTCAAAGCAGTGTTTGAACTGAGAGGGATTCACAAAAGCAAAAATGTGCAAAACAATCAATTAACTTGTGTTGCAATTAATCAATTACTGTTCTGGCACATTGACATCCAAAGTGCTTAGCTCAGATTTCGACATGAGGCTTCTATGAGCTGAAAAATTAGCATTGACCTCTGCGCACACAAATGCATCCCTGCGTGGGGACAAGCTAATTTATGCTTGCACATATGGATCTAAGCGCATAAAGATATGCGCACACATTCTTGTTCTCAGCATATTTTTCTAGTATATTCATCTGGTTTCTCCTGCCAGCGGAGGTTTTTGGCCGGCTTAAGTACGCCCACAGGCCCCTGAGGGACAGCCCATGACGGATGGCACGGCGTGTGACTCCGATTCGATTCAGCCCATTTGATAAATTTATTGCTGGCATTTTGAAAATGAAATTAGTGGGACGTCTCCTGGAGACTGTTTTTCCAGCACAGGTGCCATAAATATACTTCGTTTGGCAGCAGAGAGGGAGGAGGAGTGTAAGGGGGTGGAGAAGTGTTGGATAAAGGATGTCATGAAAGGTGCAGATAGCAGAGATGTTCCACAGAAACAGAAAACTGAAGAATAAGGTCAACTTATATAAGAGCCTTTATTAATCACTAATCACATTGGTATGGAACAACAGTAAAGGTTATTCAAATGTAGCTTGAATCCTACCTGGACCTAACTACTGTGTGCTGCCCTTCAGTCTAACACGTGTAATACAATGTAGCCTCTTAGTTTGTGTTTGCTGGACAAACCTCCAGCTTTTTTCATCTTTTGTGCTGAGGCGCACACACACACACACACGAACATATACACATCTTTTCATACAAACGCATGGTATATGAACATGATCTTTGCCTCAAGGCCACAAGGCTGCTGAGCACTGATGACACTGTCAGAGCAGCATAGCCATCTATAACTCACAGTATATTAATGAATACAGCCAGGTGACACTCTCATTGTGTGGGATTTAAAGACAGAAGCTGTTTTTGTTGATGCTTCTAACTAAACAGATTTGAATTGGACATACAAGATGTGAAAGAAAAGAAAGACATACAAAAACACGCACACAACTAAGTCAGACACAGGCACGGACACACACGGGCTGACAAAAGCAAGCATTCATTCACTGTCAGGGTTGCGCGGCCTTATTTATCCCCCCACTTCATTCAGAAACGTATGCGAGTGCAGCTGTGGAGGGATGATGTACACCTCGCGAGCTTCTGCACCCCTTCAACATTCATCAGACAGCGAGGCTCGGGCAACCCGCATCACTTACCTTTATAGGCCAATCTGACAGCATTGTACACCACATAGTCATCACATACATAGGCTCACAACAGTGTGTGAGTGAGAGCATACAGTGTGTACCCAGTCACGCAGATGAACAGTATCTTTTTGCGGCTTCAACAGATCTAAAGCTTTGAAAGGCAAAAAAAACCACCATGTTCCCAGAGAAACCCTCCTGCTGTTTAGGTTTTTCACATATACATGCGCATTATATCAGATCCAGGTGACAATGAAAATATTTGTATCTGTGTTCTGTTCTGCTCTGGTAAAAGCTTGTACAAAAGAATATCTAAATTCTTATAAGCACAGCAGGGAATAAAAGACAGTTTCAACAAAATCAGCAGGGAGTTTTCCTGGCTGATTGTCTGATCGTTCTTTGCAATCACCAAGTGTGACACACCCTCTGCCATTACTGTATCATCTCTAGCAAGAGTATAGGGGCTGGGACTGCCTGGTGCATACACCTGCCACTCAGAACAAGACCCCTGGAGCTGTTTAGACAATTTGACTGCCTGGCCCTATCATCTTACAAAATCTAAACAGCCTACAGGTACTTTCCTACAACTGCACTAAACTTCCCGTCTGTCCCCGAAGAGCCACTATGCAAAACCGTTACCTCCTCCAACCTCTTATTAGCATGCACATGAAAGTGTGGAGGAGTCTAAACAGAACTGTGATTAATCTGAACATAAGACCTACAGAAAACAGTGCATAAAAACTGACTGTGGGTTGCCTGTCTTTGCAGAGTCGCAAGGTAATTTAGTCCGGGTGTCAGTGGGTGTGAGTGATTGACTTTGTAATCAAAAAGATTGTTGTGCAACAAAACCAACGAGTGACTCAATTTCAAATCAACATTAACAAAAAACATGAAATGTTTTGTCATCTCATTAGCAAAAATTCGGAACACACACGGGAGTAACACAAGCACGTGGAACCCATCTGAAAATATGCGATAATCTACACGTGACTGATTAAATGCTGTCTTACCTTTCTGGGATGAGACAGTAGTATCTGTAATTAAAAAGAGGAGAAAGACAGAGGAGAGTGTTAGGCTGTGAGTAAGAGACACATAAAACGCAGGTGACAGCCACAGTTGGCCATTTACTGATGAGGGGGGAAAAGCACATAAACACATAAACAGTGTGATGGGTCAGGTAGGGTAATATACAAAAAAAGGAGGTCCTTTATTTGAGACCTGTGAGAAATATCCATGCTACCATGAGGAAAACTGTGTAGTAGATGTGCTGGCAACACACACACACACACACACACACAAAGGCACTAGAGTGAAATGTCTGTACTCCACAAAGAGTCACCAGGTGGAAGACAAAAAAGCATCTAACACATTGAAGAGAGGCCCTCAATTACAAAGATGCAACTCTCCTGACCCTGGAAACCCTTGATCTTGTACACAATTTACCCCGAGTGTGCTGTCTAACACACAAAAACAACTCAATTGAAGTAGAATAAGTAGAATAACACAGACTAAATCAAATACTTTCAGTAAGCGTTTTAGTTTCTTATGCAGAAACCACTGGAGACATTCCTGGCCTACAGGGGGAGGATCAAACCATCAGCAGCTTGGAGGGAAGGATGTAGTGCAATGTTTTTCAGATAACACCGAACACTTACAAAAATTGAAAGGAAAGGATCACAGTAAATTTAGCTTATTGTTCTCATAAAATATTCAACAGGATAGTGTTTGCAAGTTCCCGAGGTTTCATTTCAATTTAATAGACTCGTCAAAGTTGCAGGAGTATAGGCATAGTAAAAAAAAAAAAAAGAAGAAGAACGTTCTTTTTTCTTTCTAACTTTTTACTTTGAGCAGTTCAGATTCTTTCCTCTACTGGCCATGTGCCCAAAAAGCCCAAATGGCCGCAGACGTGGAAGGGGAATAATTGAATCCGGAAGGATTTGTGGTGTGCTGGGCTGAGGAAGCGATAATCCAAAACTCTGCCTAATTGCCAGAGTAAAGATGGCGTCCATTGTGAAGGTGGCGTCGGTGTTTATCAAGGCAGTGTGCCGTGGGATTGGACTGAGCATTAGGGCTTTACACACTTTTGTTTTGCGAGGTGTTACAGTGGATTTGAGCAAATATTGCCCCTCTGGTTATTACATGGTCTGATTGTCTGCTATGCAACTGTCCATAAGCTCTGCACTTCTACCCTAATCTGAGAGGAGGCTTCAAATAATTAGTCAGTGAAGCACTCTCGCAGCCCGGTGCAGTCAACCTTATCGCTAAAAGAAAAATCCTTGGTCCATTTCCTTTTCAGCCCAAAGGCTTACAATCCCTCACTACTGTTAAAACCTTCAGGGCAGCGACATAGCCGATAAAATAATGCCTAACATGTCACATCCGTTGGCTCTTATACTACTTTTTTTTTCATTTATTATGTAAAAGAAAGACTTCTGTATGTCAGACAGTAATGCCCCGTTAAGTGCTTGTAGTAAGAGGGTCTTACAAGCAGCTTTTTCCAAACAATTCTGGGATATACTGTAAGTCAAGTAAGTGACTAATCAGTGTTCGTACAGTAGGAAAACACTGTTACTGTCCCCCATCAATACAAGTTGATTACTAGTACTAGACTTTAAAAACTGCATAATAGTTGCCAGTGTTTTTCAGTCATGTGTCATTTAAGATAGCATACTCTATGCTGTAAAAAGGTCTTCTTGAAGTCTGCGCTAGTAGACGTGATTTTAAAAAAATGGGAAGAATAAAGACAGAATGACTTCAACAAAAGAACAACAGAAACAAACTTAAACCTGGACTCTTTGCCTGCTTTCTTTTAGCTAATGTGCCCGACTGGGAGAAAATAATTCAAAGAGTGATACCATAAAATGCAACTTTAAAAAAAAAATGGAACAGAGCCGTAGCGTGTGTGTTTGTGTGTTTGTGTGTGGTATATACCGCAGATCAACAGTCACGATGTCCAAATGTTCATCGGAATGTAGACCACAATAAGCAAATTTACACACTGTTTCACACAAATCTAAATCAAAACTATTATGCAAAGCTATTGAAAGCCCCACAATATTTCTCGGCGTAGTTGATGGTAAGAATAAAAGGTCAGCAGAAAGCTGCTGTTGTTGAAATCTTTTCAGGAGTCTATAATACTCCACTGCATTAGTTTGACATTTGTGTTGACTTTTCACAGTAATGCACAGTACAGCGGGGAGACAGTTTACAGTTGACGAAATGCAGCTTTGAGGAAAAGAAGCGGCAACGAGGAAAGAAACAGACAATGCAATTTAACAGATTTATTTTTGATGTAAAAGGGTTTAATTTGGCTTTAATTAATTGTCACTGCAAATAGTTACCTGCAGCAAACAGCATTACGCTACACTGTGCGCCACTTTCTCTCTGTCGACACTGATATAATACACCGGCAAAGAAATGTGAAGGAAATGTAGTAACATGCTCTCTTAACATTGTTTGAATAATGATAAATAATAAACACACACCAGATTGGCTATAATAAATCATTAAAAGAAAGCACTTCTTCCCTCTCTAGAACTTGCTGGTTTGAAGCAGAGACATGCTGATTGATGTCAGTACACATAAATAACTCTGCTGTTTAGGGAGGCAAAGAAAAACCTCTGTCATTGATTACTGCATTTCTTCCCAGCTATCAGTGGCTTATATGGATTTGGAGACTAATTTGCAGCGAATATGTGAATAGCTTTTTATGTGCCAATGCACACTCCGGTGGGTTTGAGTATTATGCAAAAAGGGAATATGTCAATACAGGTTTTCCACAAGTATGTATTTAAACACGGTCAAGTTAACCGTGCCTAAAAGCGTGCCTGAGGACACTAAAAGCAAAATTGTGAGAATAATCGCATCACGTAAGGAAATAAATATGTCCCAAACATTTCTCCCCGCCTTTCATAAAATTACCTTCTTAGTGTCAAAAGAAAAAAGCATAGAGAAAGAAAGTGACAGAAAGGCAGACTGATGCTAAGTTAATTTATTATTTATGCACACTTTAAGTAGACTTAAATGCAAGATAATTTCTCTCATTTTAAAGGAGGGCAAGTTGAAAAGCTAAGACTATATTACATTTTAAAGATTTTAATCTAATCGAGCCCCGTTACAAACACTGTGTAAATGTTTATGACATTCAGTAGCCATTAAAATAAAATCTATCTGCCCGAAGACTACTGTTTATCCAATATAGTGCAAAAGAGTAAAAGAGTGGAAGTAAAACTTTACAAAATGAAGAGCTGTCGGTTTAAAATTGAGCATGTGACACGAGATCCTTCCTGATATAAAAAATTCTCCAAGAATAATCTCCACAGCACGACCAAAATTATTGCAGCTTTGTGCAATAAACTTTTTGTTCAATGCACAGGGTTCTTGTTCACTTTAAAATGGTTGCTTCAAAGACGAGGATCAACTCGGTGACCGCTCGCAGTCAGTTGTGGTATTTAAAGCGATTTTAAATTACAAATAGTTATGTTCCCGCTGTAGGACAGCAATTCAACCGCATTGCTTCTATATAGCAATATCAACAGGATACATGTTAATCTGCCAAAAAAAACTGCCACTATTCAGCAGGAACAAGTTAATTTTTGAAACACTGGTGATGCTGACTCCCCGTACGAAATCATCAACAGACATTCGTCAAAAAGAGGCTCAAAGTAGATCTGCACCTTTGTGCTTTAAAACTCTCAGATGACTAATAACACAAAAGTTGCCAAACTGCAAAATATGTTACGCTGTAAAAGTTGATTAACACTTTGTACCATAGATGACAGTCCGCGTCTGTTTTCTGTCAGCACATTTTTATATAGTTTGGCACATCTTTTACCGTCTGTCACATGGAAGCATCAAAATATAGAACTTTATTTGCAAGGTAAGCTCCTATTTGATTGAGAACGCTTTCTCTCTTTGTGACCAATGAGCTTGTTCTTTCTATCCTTACTGCGTGTCTACAAGATGAAAAAGCATACCTGCAGGAGACTAGACTGAAGTCATAAACATTGTGTGATGGATTTAATAATGATAGCGAGATTTATCACCATCAGTGACGAGTAGCTACAAACTCTCTGGGCTGAAGTGTGCGCGTTTTGGACATTTTACCTGCCTTTCTGCACATGTGTTTCCCACCTTATATTCACGAGTACTGTGTGACCCTCGAGTGATGGAAAGTCTAGCTCTATAATGTCGGACCACAAATGCAGCAGTTCAACTTCAAACTAAACTCTTACTCAAGCTTTGTTTGGGAATAAAGAGAAAACAAGTTTATTTTCAGACTGCTGACTGACTGACTTCAGAGATTCTCAGATGATCTTGGGTCATTAAACTCAGCACACAAATGATATGAACATCAACACAAAACAGAAGAATTGTATAATTAGTTTTAAAATCACAGTAAAAGTAGTTTTAGAGACAACATTATTTAAAATGAAACAACAGGAGGTCACTGTACTAATACTATATTTGCATGTTCAGAATATGTGGATGTTAAGGAAACTGAAAGCTGCTGTTCTACAGTACAGCTCCCTGAATGACTGAATTAGACCGCTATTGACCTCTGAATGTTGTGGCCTTCCAAGAGGCGAATGTGGAAATGGTTTTAATTACAAACAGAAATTGGGTTCGATTTTGTCTCCCCGTCATGAAGCGAGGATTCTTCGCGGCAAATCATTGCCTCATCATGACATATGAAAACATCGTCCTCACTGGAAGGTGATTCAAGTCTGCATGTGCGGTGATTTGAATATGAATACACGTGTGCAATTATACTCATGTCTCTATCTGTGTGTGAGCTATGAACAGACTATGCAGATTTCTAGAAAGTACTTTAGAAACACATGCTCAGCCTGGAGATGATTGCTCACTATTGATATATTGTCAGTATAATGTAATTAGGATAAATTTAATGGTGTCGTTGTTCATTTCTTAATCATGTTCGCTCACGGGCAGTGATTGTCCATCAGTTAGAATTAGAAAGAAAAAAAACCAATATCTGATAGATGGTAACGCTGGTCATTTTTGAGCTAGATGT